CAGCTCCGCCATGGCGCCGATCGACGACTGTTTGCTACAACGCGCCCAGCACGGGCCGGGCTCGGAGGGGACGAGCGCGGCAGAATCGGAGCTGCGGGCACAGCGCGGCGGCTCCCGGGGCTGGCCTGGCATGGCACAGCAGGGCGCGGGGCAAAGCCTTTGTTTCTCTGGCTGCAGCCATCCTCCTGCCTTTGCTTTGCAGCACAACCCCAAACCGCCGTGGCAAGGAAAAGAAAAAAAAGCTGCTTCCCAGGCAGTCAGCCTCCAGCAGCTATTGATGCATGGGGTTATTCCTCCCCAGGTACAAGACTTCTCATTTCCTTTTGTTCAACTTCATCAGATTCACCTCAGGCCAATTCTTTCGCCTTCCAAGGTCCCTCTAAGTGGCACAAGCATTTGGTGTATCAGCTGCTCCTGCCAGGAAACTTGGTGAGGATAAAGTGCTCCAACCTGGCCAATAATGAAGACATGAGGGAGTATCTGCCCCAGTATCAGACCCTGGGGGTCAGAGCACTAATGACTTGCCTCCAGTTCTACTTTGTGCCACTTAAGACAATCACCAACCACCCATCCATTTTTCCGTCTTCCTCCCTGGGCATTTTGACAGTTTCTATTTACGGATGTTGTAGGATATAGTCTCAGAGGCTTGGGTTGAGAGGGATGACGGGTTTGTCTTTACAAACAAGCAGTGGGTCTGCTAATAAGATGCAACTGTCACTGAGAGACAACAGAAACAATGGGATGGATTCCACTGAAAGATGAAAGGCACTGAAAGAACACCATGAATTCCACAAGAGCTCAAAATTAAGAAAGGATTATGCGGGGGGCGGGGGGGAAGGTATTCCAGGTATCAGGCGTTCCAGGAAGTCTGTACCTCTCAAGGACCTCAGCCTATGGGGAAAGAGAGAAGGGACAAGTGGCCGGGAATTAGAATAAAAAGGAGACTACACCCACCAAAATAGAGAGAGACTCCAGGGGAATGCCTCTCCCTTTATTTGAATACAGTAAAAGGACTCCTCTGTCTCCATTTTGGACATAAACCTCTGATGTTTGTGGATTAATTTTCCTGACAATTTTTGGGGGCTCGGTCCGGGATATTTCCACCGTCCAGGGCGGCGGGCAGCGAGCGGAGCTGAAGGCGCGCCTCACCCAGTTTCGGTGATCAGCTCCCCTCGGTGGCGGCCAGCACCGGGCGATCGATTGGGTTCCTGAGACTGTCCAGGAGACAGATGAGTGGCAGACCAGGGGGGTCTGTGAAGAGTCCACAGGGAAGGACCACTGAAAATCTTACCGGTGAGTAAAATGGGATCTTCAGGGAGCAAGCCTGGGA